GTTGTTGTTGTTGTTGTTGTTACATTGTTGTAGAGTCGTCGTCGTTGTCGCCATCGTCACTGTCGCCGTGGTAGTGGTAGTGCTAGTGACAGTGGTGGGTATGGTACAGTAGTGGTGCCAGTAGTGGTGTTGGTCGCGGTGGTTTTCGTGGTGGCGGTAGTCCGGTAGTGGTAGTGGTAGTAACAAGTAGCACTAGTGGTCCTCCGCCTGCTCGTCGTTGAGGTTTTGAAACTCACGATCTGACAAAACAGTCGTTTCGGCTTCGAATCAGCACAACATCTTGCCTTCAGAGGTTGCAGGCTCGACTCTAGGCAGTGTCGTCCCTGTTGGGTCTCATTACGTGGTGTTCGTTCGTCGTTACTTTCTTTCCCGCCTTCCACCTCTACTCTCAAAGTGAAATGGCTCCTCCCTGCTCCATGCTATTCCGTGCTCCGGCCTGTCCAGACTTCAGGAGCTTCAGTTTCTGCGAAGCGATTCCGCGAAGCTCGTCAGCAAGACCGCCACAAGTGGTGTGCTGCACCTTGTCTATTCACGCTGGCTCACTGCGCCCTACCACCTTGCCGGCAAAGGCTGAGCGCCCATCGGCATCCCACGCACCCTTCACACTCAGCTGCTTGGACTCATTCATTGCTTCCACCAAGTGCTTCAACAAAGCCTCGGCATGCTCCCAAAGCGGCGAGCATGAGGCTGCACAACAAGGAAGCCTCAAGTGCCAAGTGCTGGGCCGCGAAGGAGGCGCAGCCAAGCGACTGCCCACCCACCATCTTGGGATGCCTCTCCAAGCAGAAATACCCCTAACATCTTGCGACAACAGATCTTTCCCGGCTGCGAGGATATGAGCCCCTTCGGTCCAGCTTTGTAACGTATAAGTGTTGCTTTCTCTTGGGTTCTTGACTTTGCCCTCGGCCCCAGTCGGGCCTTGCTGGAACCGTTCGACGATCCATCCATTCTACAGGGTCGGATTGTTTCAGTGAGCGAACGTGAGAAAGTTAGTGGGGTGTTGATGCGACTTTCTCAGCTTTGCGTTCTTTTGGGTGGAGTCTCCCCCGCCAGGCTTGGTCCGGCTCACCGGCGCCAACAGTCAGGGTAAATGCGGAACATGAAAGTCAGCAGTTGTCGTGTGACTACTTCAGAAACCGTTCGACAAAAGCAGCATTGGTGTCCCTCTTCGAAGCCAGGGTTTGAGGCCACAGTCGTGTAGTACGTAGATTGTCCGAAGGTTAGCGGTTAGCGCAACGGCAACGCGCAAGGCTTCAGAAGCTCACGAAAGCGAGGCGGTAGTGGCCAAGAGTCGTTGATTGTGTGGCCCCGGAATTTCCACGGGGTACAGGATGTCCCTCCCTTCTCGTAGTTGCAGCCAGAGAACCAGTTCATGATGTTTCCGCTTTCCCACGGGTGGATATGAAACTGTCTATAGTCTGCGTCCACTTCTGAGTGCAGTTGAGCCACGAGTGACAAATCGCGACAAGCTGCGCCAACATGGCCTTGGAGCAGAAACGTCCTCCAGTCCTCCGGCTGCCTGCTACAACAAAGCTTGTCAAGATGGCCTCCACACCAGCTCGAAACTCGCTGCAGAGTGACCTGAACGTTAGATCTGCAGACTCTCAGAATGCTATTCTACGCAGTACAAGTACCATGTGGGCTGGGCATGCTGCGGATATGGCATATCCTTCAGCTTTTGTGGGTCATTCTCAGCACCTGCTGGCTGAACCAGCGTGGTACAACTCCTCGGCATCTGGCAACGTAACGGCAGACGCGAGAAGCAACCCCCCCCAGCAGTGCGCAGTTCAATCCAGCACACGCAGCAGGTCCTGTGATTGAAGAACTGGAGCAGGTTCTGGCGCACCTTGCTCGTCATCGACACAGAGCTAGCTCTTGTAGAATGGAATCCGGAATCACCACAACACTTCATGTCTGGCTGCACTTCGGCACAAGAAATTCTCGTATCCCTTACTTCAGAGTACCGCTGGGCCTCTTTGCCAGCCCCCCGTGCATCTGCAGCATGCAGAGCTTGTTCCAGGTATTCCTTTGGCAGACAAGGAACACCTTCACGCAGCAAGAGCAGCAGGCTTCTGCGGGCGAGGAGCATCCGAGCTCATCGTATGACCAGCAGCATCACGCAGCTCTAGCACGAAGTCCCTCAGCCTTAGGCTGACGGCTGCTTTCCACCCAATCTCAGACACGGACATCAAGAGCGACAGTCACACTCGCAATGAGTTGCCCGCAAATGGTCCTTTTTTCAAGGCTCCGGCACCCACAGCAGAGCCGGGCGACTAACCTCCTGTCCGTGAGAGCAGAGCAGAGCAGAAAGCACGAGCCTTCTGCCTTATGCCTTGTCAAGTATAGAGCACCACAGCACAAGGCCCAAGGCTTTACCCGTCTCCTGACCGCGTTCTTCCATGTGCTCAGCCTGTGGCTACCGAAAGTGGGCCCTTTTTCTGTGGTCTTGTCATAGCACACCAATCACCGAGTAAGGTCTCGGCAAAACGGCAAATCAGCGCAAGCGAGCTGAACACCTAGCAGAATTAGCAGCCGTTTGAGCCTCCGTTATGATCGGAAGGTCCGCGATCGACCCATTAATTAGTCCTTGCAATCGAGCTGCGCTGTCGTTCAGCGTACCCTTCGTGTTCAGGACAAGGACGGAGGACAGCAACGCGCACAAGGACATCATCTGAGCATCACCTCACGCCACGGCCAAGGCTTGCCGGAAGGTCATGTCATTCATGTGCTAATGTGCATATGTGCAAAAAATAGCCAAATGCAGAAACGAAAACGTGCAAGAACCAAAGCCATGCAGAATCTAGAACTAGTCTAGAACTGCACACACGACAGCAGTGCAGTCTAACGTTGATGGACCACACTTTGATTCTGATGCGGTCATGCAGGCACACCCCGGCGGGCAAAGCCACGGAGCTGAGAGCTACTGCACAAGACGTGCGATGCTCAGCCTGCCCTCCATTCGCCTAGTGGAACCTCCGCTGGGGGGACGACCCTGGCTTCTAGTGTCTTTCTAGTGTCTTGTCTTTCCTTGCGCATGCCTGTTAGGCATGTAAAGGTGCCAAGACTGTAGCTTGGCACCGTTCTTACTGCCTCTCGATGATCTGGTGTGGTCCGGTACTGGTTCCTGCCCCTTGCCCTTGCTCGCAGAGAACGAGGTCACGGGGCTTCTCACTACTACGTTTTTCCCTTTCCTTTCTTCCGAGGCTGTTGCGGCTCCTGTTCAACCACAGTGCAGGAATGGGTGGACAGCACTCAGCAGCGGGGCCCTGCGGCGAAATGATCGTTCGTGCAGAAGCTCCAACAGCTGGGTCACGGGCGGTCGGAGTCGTTGCCGAAACCCTCACCTCGGTTCGCTCTCGCGGCCTTTCGGTGTGGACTCGTACATGCCTCGAATCAGGAGGCGGCAATCAAGGAAGGCCATCACAGGGGCATGCTCCTCTTCGGGGTCCTGAAGTCTTAGACTCCGAGAGAGAGCATGGACCAGGACGCGTAGAAATCCTGGTAGCTCCAAAGCCAAAGCCCGGCGGTGCCGTCGCCCGGGGACCCAAGCTGGCATGCCGCAAGCATCTACAAGCATCCGCCTCACATGCAGCAACCTCGGCGACCGGCCTTGAACTTGGGGCCATTCTTCATCCCATCTAGGAGGGCATTCAGAAGGAAGCCTCGACACTCCAAACTCTGGAGAGTCCGACTCCGACGTGAAGTCTAGCTGAGTCTCTCTTTCCGGTGCCGCGCATCCCGCAAACCGACACCACCGCAATGCCTGCGCATCACACACTGACGAAGTGCGAGTGCTTTTGGCCGCGCAAGCTGGGGCCAGGACGTTTTTCACCGAAAGCTTCCAGGGCCTGGGCTCCCTCGCTACACACTTCGTACTGCCACCTGCGACGGCTTGCCAGACAGCTTGCAAAATGCATGTGGAAATCGTGCAAAGCGTGGCTTTGGCGTTGCACATCGCACCTATTGCCGGCCCGCTGCACTCGCAGGAGTTCTACCGGCTCCAAGGCTTGCGCCTTCCGCACCACTGGCACCGCTGTGAACCCTTTGCTCTGAAACCCGGCCTGGCAAAGATTGAAGATGGTGCTGGCCTGCGCACGCTTGCGGGCAATGCGGGCATCATCGAGCATACCTCTTCACCTCTTGCTCTCATGTCAGCACGCCTGTCGCAAACCTCAGACAGCGTGGGGTCTCACCTACACCTGATGAGCATGCCCTCTGCTCAAAGGTACCTAGCGCATTTGGAGACAAAGCTGTTGATTGCCCTGTCTAGGGGCTCTCATGGCGCAAGCAAGGAGCGAGTTGGCTTCTGGAGTTTTTGTAGCGGGCTTCGGACCAACTCATTGTCACGCTGGGCCCGGACTCGCTCCTCCGGAATCCCGTTTTCCAAGCTCGGCAACATGTGCAGAGACAAGACACGAGCTTGGAAGCTACACCCCGGTCTCCGGTGGTACGTCTGGCTTGCAATCCAAGTTGTAGGTGCCGTTCGGGTTGATGCTCAGGACCTTCAGATGGGCAGCACCAGACAGACGAGTTTAGATCCGAAGCAGCACACCCTGCCGATCTACATGAGTGCGTCCGAGCAACTTTTGCCAATATCCAGTCGCTCTGCGATGCACTAAAATACCTCAACCGAGCAACATGCACAAGTGGTCTAGCACAGCGTCCTACCCCCGAAAACGGGATGTCCCACGGTCCATACCGGCATGGCTACTGCGAGCGCCTCGTGTCTTTCGGCCATGCAGGTCACGTGGGATGAAAGAAACGAAGAGGACGGTATGAGTGGGAGGCAACACGACAACAGCAACTATGATATGGTTTTAAAGGTTTGCCCGGTAAAGATTTAAGCTCAATCGAGATTCATCCAAGTGAGACACCCGTATCTTTACGCCGGCGGTGTTGGTGCCATGCAATTCCATGTCTCCGTGGTTCCACGTGCAGCCAGGACGCTCCACGACCTCTCCAGGCTCGAACTCCAAGACTCCCGAAGCTGAAAGTCTGCCTCTGCAGCCCGCCCACCCCCTCCCGTCTGCACCACCAAACAGCCTCATTCTCTACTGCAATTACACAAGCTGGTCAAGCTCCAGATGCAGGTAGACTGCTCTCTCTCGCCGTCGCACAGGATCGTATCTTCTGTCGGGGTACACCAGGCTTGCCTCGGATGAGAGCCTACCAGCAGCTAGCCCCTCGAAGCCTTTGCACGCTACGTGGGTTGAGGCCAGGCGAGCGACAGTCCAGATCGTAGGTCCCCTTTGCATTCACGGCTACGACCTGGACAGATGACTCCAGCTGTTCCGATGAGTCTCCACTGATGCCTCTCGCATCTTGATGCACAGCCTTGGCGGGGATCCACGAACCCTGAGATGCACTGTAGTACTCCACGACCTCACCTAGCTTGAAGGCCTGCCGAACGAGCGCTCAAAGTTGTTTGCGACGGCTTTGGGCAGCAATGTACTTATGCGTGCCTCCGATGAGTCACCGTCAGGCCTCAAGTGGGATGCTGCGCTTTACTAAGCAGCCTCAACATGATAAGTCGATGCCCATCATGCCGCAACTCCTTAACGATCAGACACCGCCGTTACAAAATGGAAGTTGGTGCGCAGCGCCGGACCCTGATCCGCCCCCTCAGTCGCTTCGGCCAAGTCCCAGTTCCTACACACTCAAGTCTATCAAAGCAGGTATTAACCAAACTTTCGTGCGACAAGCTTTGGTTTTCCCTGCACCCGCTCCCGATTCAGATTGGTTTGGTTCCAGACTCCAACCTGTTTTGGGCCCAAATCGCGGCATGAAAAAATTGGACTCTAGTATCTTCGTGGTGGTATGATTTGAGGGTTCATCCTTTCGGCACGAGACTGGCAACGCTCGAACAAGGTATAAGCTTCCATTTTCAGATGAGCCCTCGCCCCCACGAACCCAAAGTGCTGAGCTGACCTTTCAGCCACTTCACTGGCCCACATAAGTTTCCCCGTCAGAAGCTCGCAAGCAAACCAACTTTCCGAATCAAAATTCTTCGGGCAATCACCTTGAGTTTCCTGCATGAATGCTCCTTGCACTGCTTTCGATGTCATGCTATATAGGCCACCGGCTCAGTCCAAGATCCGGCCCAAGAAAACCACGCCATGGACAAGGGGCACGCATGGACGTAAACATAGGCAGAGGGGCACCAAATTCGCTGATGTGCACAAGAACCAAAAGGTAAAGCAATGCACAACCGAGCCAAAGTCCCGAGTATCTGCTCGATACAGTCGGTACACAATACTCACAATGAGTACTGGGCACTGAGAACATCAGCACCTTGACATGCAGCAGTCTAGCGGTTGAGCCAGGTCCAGACAACAGGCCGTTGCACCAGCAGCGGGCGGGGCAGGAGGTCATGCACTTTATCGTGCCACGGAGCAACTGAGGAAGGCAAACAGGCAACATGGCCTTGCTTTTGCACGAGATGTCTGAGCTCTTCAAGCTTCAACTTTGGGATGCTTGCGGTCGTCAAACTTATCTTCAGCTGCAATGTTTTGCAGCGGGTTTAGGCCAACGTGACATCCAGACTTTGGGCTGCAATGCGGATAAACTTGGGTACCACAAGCGACAAGCTACGGTAATCGTACTTGTTGTCACACTGTTCACAATTGGCCAATTCCGCGAGCAGTGCTTTCGCCCATTGGGCGTGCACTGTTTTACATCTGCACATCGCACTGTCAGGCTTCGCTCGCTCTAGCAGCGTCGCAACAGCTTCAAGCCCAAAACCCTCAACTAATCTAAACACCGTCAAATTATGCGTCCTGTGTCCGGGCAATGCGAGGTGCGGGTCAGTGTGCAGCTCATTTTTCCTTGGCTGCCTGCACAGGTGGCAGGCACTCCGGAAGCTTGGAGCCGACTTCCACCGCCCGAGTGATCCGAGTGCACGGGACAGGGCTTCGAGAAACAGGCTTGGCATTCCGATTGTAATGCGCAAAGCCCCATCTTCGTGCAAAGAGGTCCCCTTGCAAGAAAAGCAACGGGAGCAAAGGTGTGCAATGCCGTTGGAACAAGACGGGGCATTCCCTTTGTACTACAGTTACAACAGAAGCTGAGGTCCTTTGAAAACTGGATACTGCAGTATTACCTGGATCCGGTAGATCTGAGTAGACGGTGAAGACACATCGCAAAACACTCGGGAAGGCCTGTTAAAAGCCACGAAAGCTGGGACAATTGGAGGCATCTTTGATGCTCATCAACTCGTTTGGCCTGGTGCTCGTGCCTCTACCGTTTAAAAGTGCAATGGGCTTGCATCTACCCTGCAAAAAGCTCCGAGCACCACTTCACATCTTCAAACGTCCAGGCGAGCCCAGCCTGTGCAACAGGCAGCTTTTCAGGCTCACTCAAGGTCATTGCGATGCATCACTGGCATGAACATCTACATCCTCCGCGGAGTATAGTACCCTCTCTCTCACTCGCAGACGCTTTCAACGAAATATGGACTTTTCCCAATGCTCGGTCACATAAGGTGCAGTTCAGGCAGGGCCACTTCTTCGAGCTGGGTCGGAAAAAAGCTCAGAAGGATCCTGACCCGGTTCAGCATTGGTTTACAACGCTGTCCAAAACAGGCAGGCGACACATGCGCATGGCGAATGTGCCCCAAGTTAAACGTTGGCCTTTCTAGGCGACTTTTGCACCATAGGCCACAAAATCTTGGAACTTGTGCACGTGAAGTCAAGCGCTTCAAGTGCTTCGCCCAGCTTTTATCGATTGGTCGCTCCAATCATCATGAATGCCTGGTTAACGCCAATGTACGGCATCACCAGTGTCAAAAGAGGCATGCATACAAACCAAGCTGGGCCCAACCACTTCATGATTCCCGTAACCGTCTCGTTCAGGATCAGCCTGCCTATCATCAGCTCCCACCAGCCACGGGTCACCAACGCCTCGCCCCACTTCAGCTTGGCAGACTTTTCTGGTGTCATCTCAGTTCGCCCAACCCATAGATAGGTGCATGGATGGAGCACATCCAAAGCGATCAGAGTGACGATGATGACAGCCGACAGAACTCCAGTATGCTTTCTTCCTTCAATGGCATAGTAGATCCAAACACTCACAGCACCAAGGATCAACAGCAGTGTCCAATACTTGACCAGGTTTGTCGATGTTACTCCGCGATCTCCGCCTAGCCAGAAACTGATGTCTTCCCCGTAGAGCTGGTACCTCATGTAGTCCTGCGTTCCCTTGATGATGGAGTACAAGAGCAAAGGTGCTGACATATAGAAAAGCTGTGTTGAGCGCCAGATGTTGTCCATGGATAAGCCGATCACCTCGTTGGCTTCCATACTGGTTGAGAGAGTGTAGCGCATGGCCGAGGCAATGACCATGCCCCAGCTCAGAATTTGCACTGTAAGCATAAATGAGAACATGCCGGTGGAGGAGAAGTGATAATTCCGCTTCGCAAAGATGCTGTAGTAGTTGAACCCAATCCTCGAAGCATGGTAATTATCAGCAAGTAGCAGCCTAATGATGGCAACTACATGTAACAAGTGCAGTCAAGCCGATATTCTTCCAATCAAGCACATGGCAGACACCAACCAACTATTTCTCCAGTGGCGACACACCCACAACAAACAAATAATTGCGATAAAATCAGCTGAAGTTCCAGAAGAAGGCGCACCAGAACCAAATGAAGTATGTGAGGTTGTCCATCGAAATCAGCAACCGCCCCCACCACCTCATCTCGTCTGGCCACATGATTGGCAGCTTCAGCCCGCACACTCGCTGGATGAATTTTAACATTTCCGTCAGCACAAAGACCAGGAACATGAACAAGACCAGGCTGACCACCCAAACGATGAACTGAAGCGTCATGGTCAGATACGTCTCAAAAAGCTCTGGGTGCTCATTGAAGTAGGCACTGCGAGCAATGAGTTCGCAGCTCCTCAGCCAAGACACAACCGGCTGCATGGTCTGCTGGTACCAGGCTTCATCCACCAAGCCCCACTTGACGATCTCCCACGTGGTGTCTGTCTTGCTGACGAGGCGGAACAGCGAAGCAAGGAAGCAGAAGAAGAAAATCAGCGTGAACCACACCATGTAGACACCCTTGTGGCAGCTGAAGAACGTCTGCAGCGACAGGACCACTCCTCCCTCGGCCCATCGCTGCACGGCCGCCAAGTAGTCGATGGGGTTCTTCGCCATGCCATAGGACAACCGGCGGTTGATGAACTGGGACCGGCGGCCTCGCAGCACTTGCTGTAAACTACTTGCCGTGTCTTCGACCTTGCAGCTCTCGTGGAAGGTGCGGCGCTCGACGTACTCCTGGCTCTTGCGCTTGCTCTCGACGTCCCGCACCCTCCGACGCTCTTTCTCCCAAACCAGGTCACCCTGCGGATGCTTGATCATCCATGTGCCGTTCGTTCCACAAGAGCTGACACCACCGCAGCAATTCCGGATCATGCAGTTCAGTCGAAAGAACTGTGCATTGTTGTTGTCCAGGTAGTCGAGTTTGTCCTGCATCTCGTGGAAGAACTGAGGGCACTGAGTGAAGCCAACGTACGGATTGAGCTCCATGTCATCATCAAAGAAGTATGGGATAGTGCTGTGGAAGAAATCCGTTTGGAACTGGTGCCGGGCATCGCAAATGCTATACAGACATGGAAAGTTGTCTCTTTCATCGCCGTACATGTTTTCTGTCTTGTCCGCATAGAGGCACAAGTAGTTCTCCGAGAAGTTCAGGCCACCTGCCTTGCCGCGACTGGTCCGGAGAGGCACATTGTTCATGAAGGGATCGTCATCTTCCATGCCATATACCATCTCCCGAGCCTTGGCACGCAGCTTCAGCCAGTCTTTGTTTTCTGCGTTCTGTGGGACCTTGTAGTACCAAGTTCCTGGGGCCACATGCTGCGCCTTGATGGTGCGCTCGTCCTCCATGGGCTTGGCCCGTGCCAGGTAGTGCAGGCGAAGGGCCAAGCTGTTGCGATCCTGGGGCTCCCAGTCCGCCACGTCATCCAAATGAAGGTCTTTCTTTTCTTTTTTCGTATTCTTGAGATCCTCCTCCAAAGCATGTAGGGCAACGTCGAGGGACTCGAATACCTGGGACGGCATTGAACTCCAGCCACCTTCTTTCCGCAGCTTTCGCAGCGCATTCTTGCCACTCATGCGCGAGAGAATCTCAGGCTCGACCTCACCGGGATAGCCATCCTTCACTTTGGCCAAGTCCATCTTTTTGGTGTCTTCCACCCATTGTTGGAAGAAGCGGCTCACATTCTCCTCGTAGCTTTCACCTCCGAAATTCGGAAGCCTCTCAATGATAGCAGCAAGCTTCATGAACATGACTTTCTGCTCTGCTCTGTGTCCCTCGTCGACAAAGGCCACGTGGTAGCGGCACCTGCAATCCTTTGGCATGCAGCCGATGGCACCCACGATATTCCGCAAAACTGTGCACTTGTTCTCTCCAGCACTTGGCACCGTCACAACTATGTACCGCAACTGGGCAGTCAGTTCTGGATCATACCGGCGAAAGTGCGGGTACGGGGAGAAGACACCTGGGCAAAGCATGACTGCCTTCACACCGAAGCCGATCAGGAGCACGTAGCAGAAAAGCCAGACAGGAGCGGTTTGGTTCTTCTCATACCCGACGAATCCGATGAGTGCAGACTCGTTGATGTATCCATCACTGGTGCAGTTTGCCAAGGCTCCTTGGCCTGACTGGCAAGCATGTGCGCAGCGACCTGACACAGCAACGCAGCGATCATTGAATGGAGGGGGGGCTGCTTGCTGGCCAGGCTTGAAGCGATCAAAGCCGTCCTCATACAAACTGCTATTGACAGCACAGGCCACCAGATACAGTGGCCCTTGCCGACCATAGCACCAACCGGGATCGATTTCCATTCGGTTTAGTTGGTTCAACTTCATCGCATGCTTGCTCACGGGATCCTTGACGGGCAGGAGTTCTTCGTCGTACTCATTGTCTCGTTGTTTGATCAATGGCTTTCCATTGGGACCCGCTGGCACCGGCGGGTCTGTTTGGGTGTAGTCACTTTTGTAAAGCTTTTGCCACTTCCCTCGCTCGCGTGACGACTCCAGCACGAAAACACGCGGTTGGCTAAAGACATCTGTGCCCTCTGGGATTGTCATGCCGCTCACCGTAATCCGGAATCGCGGAAGCGAAGTGTACACAACTGGTGTCTTTGCCGTACTGCTGCTGTCTGGATCGCCCCCTATAGAAGTGCCACTTGTTCCACTCGTGCTGTCTGTGCCAAATCCTGGGAGTGAGCCTTCCGGATCAGCTAGGCCGGGGGGCAACCCACCAATGCCTGGAATGAACTGCAACCGACGATAGTCCTCCTCGGTTCTGGGGTCATACATGCATTCATGGCATTGCCAGTTTTGGAAGCTTTCCGTTGTGGTCTCGCATTCCCCAGGCAGTCTTCCTTCAACACACTGCTTCATCTCGACGGCTCCATTGAAGTTCGCTGTTGGGATCTCCCGGCCAGCCACAGATGAGGAAGTCATTTGAATGATGCCGTTTTCGGTACAACCCTGCATCAAGTTGGAGTTTAACACGGAACCACAGGTCCAACCACAAACACCACCGGCGGCATAGCAGTGTGTTCCGACTGCGGCATCATCAAGTTCATGGAGCTTCTCGAGCTCGGCAAAACTGTCCGGGCTCCATACAGCACAAGCCAGCACGTACAAGCCAGAGTTTGCCGGAGCCACGTCCACGAAATCACCTACTGGAGGCCGAATGCAGGAGTCTGTATCATGCACATACGCGTGGCCAGCCTTGTCTGTCCATGCGCGCCAAAAAGGAGATGGCCAAGCGTGGCGTCTGTCCGCAACGACCCACCAATCATTGAAGTCTGCCGAGGCTAGCAATACAGGGTAGACTGTGTGGACGTACCCCTTCGAGAGCGCAGAGTGATTGAGAGTAAGGCTGACTCTGAAGTTCATTTCGTTAGTCCTGTATCCTTTCCAGGAAGAACAGGAGTAGTTGCAACTGTCTGCATCTGTTGGCAGCGGGGACATCTGGATTGCATGTTGCTGTTCCGCTGCGAGGTCCTGGCCGTGGACTGCAGCAATGGCAGGCCACTTCGGGTAGCGCTCGTGCCAGTACTGCGTTGGCATCGGGTTCGTCACTAGCCACTTCGTCCACAGCGGGAACACCACGAGAAAGATCAGGAACTGGCACACATAGCAGCAATGACAGCAGCATGCCGCAGTGAATGCAGGGGCACAAGAACCTCAGCAAAAAGTTGCACAATTCGGAGACATGCATGCCCGCGCAAATGTTTGCGAAACTACTCGGATGAGCCAGGCCACGGCGAGGTTTCAAGCTTACCAGCGTCTGGTTCTCCGTGCTGTCATCATCAAAAACCTGCTCTTGCCCTGCTTCACTCCCAGCACCTTGGCTACGAAAAGCTAGTACTATGATGCACTGCACATGCACGGGCAGGCAGCTAAGCAGCCAGAAGCGTCAGTGCCCACAGCCTGCATGTCCTCAGCATGCAGTTTGCAGATCTTCGCTTTCTGTGGGCTTCTGCTGACAGCCCTTACAATTTTCCGGTAGCCCGTTCACATGCTGACGTGGCGCTAATCTTGCCTGACTGGCCGGCCAAAAAATTAGCTCGAACCAAATGCAAACACGATCACACGCAGTGTTCCGAGTGTCTCTTCATGCTTGCCGGTGACTGCTTAAGTGCACCTGGCACCACAGCTGCACAGCTTTGCACGCAAAACGATCGAAAACCCAGCGAAACTGACAAAGCCGGCATCTTTTACGCGCAGTGTCCGTACAGTGGACTCGTGAACCATTGGTGTCCGCAAGGTTTAAAATAGGCAAGGAATGGCAAGGATGAATAAAGACAGCCCAGTTAGTTGCAGAATACGGCGACATGGCTACGTGGCAGCTAGAATCCAACTCGCCGGGTTGTCGTGGTCAGTTCAGGTGCATCAGGTGCTACTACAATGTAGTTTCTTCCTTGCCCAGCTGAATCAAATCGAGGCTTCCCCTCAAGAGTCGATGTCCGAGCATCAGTCTAGCGATTTGTAGTAGAGCCGATCATCATAAAGGCTTGGTTAACGCCAATGTATGGCATGAAGAGAACGAGGAAGGGCATCAGTACGAACCAAGCTGGTCCCAGCCACTTGAAGACGCCAGTGACCGTTGGGTTCAAGATAAGCCTCTGGAGCATCAGCTCCCACCATCCTCGGGTCACCACGGCCTGACTCCACGTGAGCTTGGCCGCCTTCTCATTCGTCATTTTGGTCCGTCCCACCCACAGGTAGGTGCACGGGTGCAGAACATCGAGTGCAATCAGGGAGACAATGAGCACAGCAGACATGACTCCGGTGTGCTTGCGCCCTTCGATGATGTAGTACACCCAAGCACCCATCGCGCCGAGGATCAACAGCAGCGTCCAATATTTCACAAGATTGGTAGACATCACACCGCGATCTCCACCGACCCAGAAGCTGATGTCTTCCCCGTAGAGCTGGTACCTGATGTAGTCCTGCGTTCCCTTGATGATGGAGTACAAGAGCAAGGGGGCGGTCATGTAGAAAAGCTGCGTTGAGCGCCAGATGTTGTCCATGGATAAGCCGATCACCTCGTTGGCTTCCATACTGGTTGAGAGAGTGTAGCGCATCGATGAGGCAATGACCATGCCCCAGCTCAGAATCTGCACTGTAAGCATAAATGAGAACATGCCGGTGGAGGAGAAGTGATAAGTCCGCTTCGCGAAGATGCTGTAGTAGTTGAAACCAATCCTTAGCCAACATGTGTGCGACGGTTCGGTGGTTTCTTTAAGGTCGCAGCTTTCTGGCCTGATGCCGCAATCCCGCAGTTCGAAAGTTTGAGTGGAAGTCCCCAGTTCCCTTGCTGTCCGATGCTGCTCGTACTACGTGCTGCTCAAGTGCAGCTAAGGAGCCAGAAGAAGGCAGTCCAGAACCACAGGAAATACGTCAAGTTATCCATCGAGATGAGGAGTCGCGCCCACCAACGCATCTCGTCTGGCCACACAACGGGCAACTGCAAGCCGCACCGACGTTGGATGAACTTCAGCAGCTCCGTGAACAGGAAGACGAGGACGAGGAAGAAAATCAAGCTGACAACCCAGATCGTGAACTGGAGAGTCATGGTCACAAACGTGTCGAGAAGGTCTGGATGTCGCTTGTAGTAGTTGTTGTTGGCAATATTCCCCAGGGTCCGCAGCCAAGACACAACCGGCTCCTGAATGGTGTTGTGATACCAGGTTTCATCCACCAAGCCCCACTTGACGATCTCCCACGTGGTGTCTGTCTTGCTGACGAGGCGGAACAGCGAAGCAAGGAAGCAGAAGAAGAAAATCAGCGTGAACCACACCATGTAGACACCCTTGTGGCAGCTGAAGAACGTCTGCAGCGACAGGACCACTCCTCCCTCGGCCCATCGCTGCACGGCCGCCAAGTAGTCGATGGGGTTCTTCGCCATGCCATAGGACAGCCGGCGGTTGATGAACTGGGACCGGCGGCCTCGCAGCACTTGCTGTAAACTACTTGCCGTGTCTTCGACCTTGCAGCTCTCGTGGAAGGTGCGGCGCTCCACCAGTTCCTGAATCTTTCGCTTGCTTTCGACGTCGCGCACCCTCCGACGCTCCTTCTCCCAAACCAGGTCTTTGTCTGGATGTCTGATCATCCATGTGCCGTTCGTTCCACAAGAGCTGACACCACCGCAGCAATTCCGGATCATGCAATTCAGTCGGAAGAACTGTGCGTTGTTGTTATCCAGATAGTCAACCTCGTCTTGCATCTCATGGAAATACTGGGGGCACTGCGTGAAACCCACATATTGATTGAGCTCCATCTCATCGTCGAAGAAGTATGGGATAGTGCTGTGGAAGAAATCCGTTTGGAATTGGTGCCGGGCATCGCAAATGCTGTAGAGACAAGGCGCGAGGTCGCGAGAGTCACCGTACATGTTCTCTGTCTTGTCTGCATAGAGGCACAAGTAATTCTCGCAGAAATTCAAGCCACCTGCCTTGCCACGACTGGTCCGGAGAGGCACATTGTGCATGAAGTGGTCATCATCTTCCAAACCATAAACCATCTGCCGAGCATTGGCACGCAGCTTCAGCCAGTCCTTATTGTCTGCGTTCTGTGGGACCTTGTAGTACCAGGTTCCCGGGGCCACATGCTGCGCCTTGATGGTGCGCTCGTCCTCCATGGGCTTAGCCCGTGCCAGGTAATGCAAGCGAAGGGCCAAGCTGTTGCGATCCTGGGGCTCCCAATCCGCCACATCGTCACGATGAAGGTCTTTCTTCTCCTTCTTGAGATTTCGCAGGTCCTCCTCCAAGACGATCAGAGCATCCGAAAGTGGCTCAAGGACGTGCGGTGGCATCGAGCCCCATCCACCTTCTTTCTTTAGTGTTTTCAATGCATTCTTGCCGGCCATTCGGTCCATGTCCTTAGGATCAACCTCTCCATCGTAGCCGTCTTTCACTTTCTTGAGATCCATCTTCTTGGTATCCTCCACCCATTGCTGGAAAAAGCGGCTCACATTCTCCTCGTAGGAAGCACCTCCGAAGTTCGGAATCTTCTCAATGACGGAGGCCAGCTTCATGAACATAAGTTTCTGCTCGGCTCTGTGACCCTCGTCGACAAAGGCCACGTGGTAGCGGCACCTGCAATCCTTTGGCATGCAGCCGATGGCACCCACGATATTCCGCAAAACTGTGCACTTGTTCTCTCCGGCACTCGGAATGGTAACGACGATGTACCGCAGCTGGGACGTGAGATCGGGATCGTATCGTCGGAAGTGTGGGTACGGCGAAAACACACCGGGACAAAGCATGACTGCCTTCACTCCGAAGCCGATCAGAAGCACGTAGCAGAAGAGCCAAACCGGAGCTGTCTGGTTCTTCTGGTAGCCCACGTATCCAACCAAGGAGCTTTGAAGAATATGACCATCCTTACTGCAGATTAGTGAGGACTAAAGGCTCCGCTTGAAAGCCTTACTCAACGATGAAACTAGATTCGACCGCTAGAGGAAATGCAGCTGCAGCCAAGCCACAGCCGTGCAGTTTGCCATGGGCGTTTGGTCTGGTTGACATGCATGCGCACAACGGCCGGACACGGCAACGCAACGGTCGTTGAAAGGTGGAGGAGCCGCCTGCTGACCAGCTTTGAAGTTCGTAAAGCCACCCTCATAGAGAGTGCTGTTTACAGCACATGCCACCAGGTAGAGTGGCCCTTGCCGGCCGTAGCACCAGCCGGGTTCGACCTCCAAGCGGTTCTGCTGGTTCAGGGACATGGCATGCTTGCTAACCGGGTCCTGCACTGGGGCAAGTTCCTCATCGTAGGAGTCCGACTCTTTCTCCTTGACCAAAGGCTTGCCGTCCTTGCCCACGACAATCGGAGGCTGTGTCATGCCGTAGTCGTTCTTGTAGAGCTTCCGCCAGGTCCCGCGCTGATCCCTGGAGGATTGCAGGACAAAGATGCGAGGCTGGCTGAAGACATCCGTGCCTTCGGGGATCGTCGCACCAGTGACGGTGACGTGGAAACGTGGCAACGACGTGTAGATCGTGGGTGTCTTCGCGGTCGAGGAGTCGCTGTCTCCCCCAATGACGCCTGGCAGTCCACCGTCACTTCCTCCAATTCCTGCCGCGGAAAAGATGGCATGGATGGCATGCATACGAATGACGTGCGAGTTACGGCACTGGGGTATATCAGACATGCTTCTACGAATGGTGTGAAAGTTTCCACCCCCGCGCTCCTGGGAGTGGGCTATCAGGATCGTCCAGCCCTGGCAATCCTGAAGGTAAACCACCAATTCCGGGAATGATCTGCAGACGCCTTCGCATGTCATCCTCTGTTCGGGGGTCGTACAAGCATTTATGGCATTTCCACTGCTTGAACTTCTCGGTTGCAGTCTCGCACTTGCCTGCTTTATTGCCTTGCAAACACTCCCTCATCTCCACATTGCCCTGGAATTCTGCCGAAGGAATTTCGCGTCCAGCCACGGATGATGATGTCATCTTAATGGTGCTGTCTGCCGTGCATCCCTCTAGCAAGTCAGAGTTGACCACGGAGTCACATGTCCAGCCGCAGACACCGCCTGCCGTGTAGCAGTACTGGCCGAGGTCTGCATCGTCCAGCTGAGACTTCGCCTCCAGTTCCGCAAAGGCTGTGGGGCTCCAGACCACACACGCCAAGACATAGACGCCGGAGTTTGCTTCACGCGTGACCTTGTCGCCTGCTGGCGGGCTGATGCAGGTGTCGGTCGTGTAAGTGTAGGCGTGTCCTGTCTTGTCTGTCTTGGCACGCCAGAATGGTGCCGGGTAGGCAAAGCGCCTGTCTGCCACCACCCACCAGTCGTGGAAGTCTGCACTTGCCAGCAAAACGGGGTAGATCGTGTGCACGTAGCCCCGGGAGAGAATGGAGTCGTTGACTGTCATGCTGACACGGAAGTTCATCTCGTTGGTTCGGTAGCCACGCCAAGAGGAGCAGCTGAAATTGCAACTGTCTGATTGAGTCGGGATGGGCGACATCTCGATCGGGTAATTCACAAGGCTGTCAGCGGCGAGATCTTGTCCGCCAACTGCTTGAATGGAGGGCCACTTGGGATACTGCTCATGCCAATACTGCGTTGGCATTGGATTTGTCACAAGCCACTTGGTCCAAAGGGGGAAGATTACCATGAACATCAGGAACTGGCAAACATAGCAGCAATGGCAACAACAAGCAGCGGTGAGAGGTGGCCGGCATCCACCTGAAAAGCTCAGCAACAGCAATAGCGCTTGATGTTCCGGTCATTAAATCTGAGGCAGCAACGAGATTTCTTCATCGCTTTCTCATCAAAACCACCGTCCGTGCTGTCGTCTTCTTCACTGTCCATCTGCGAGGTCGCCACATCGACGTCTGTGGATGAGCCTAAGCATGTGATTCTTGTCGCTCAGTCGCTGGCAGTTGTCTAAGGTAAGCAATCTAGGCCCACTGCCGTCGTATCCATAAGCATAGCCTTGGCACAATTGAGCACATGCCCAGAGCAAGGACAGGATAACTAGGAGGACAGACGAGACAAGGTTCGAGGCAGGAAGCCTCCCGCAGCACAACTTCCTGTTTCGGCTGGTATGGAGAAGTACGGTCGGCTTCCAGCAACCCGCATGGTCAGCCGACTTGGAAAATGAAAACGAACCGGTGAACTTGACTTGATAGAATAATCTAGACACAGCACGATCACTTCGACATTCTTCAACTATGTTCTTGAGCAGGGGCTGCAATGCACTAAGCCCATAGTTGAAAGCAATGATTGTGCCAAAAGCTGGTGCGCGATTGCCTCCTTGTCGTGGTTTATGTCCTACTAACTCAGAGACCGACAGATTTTCCCAGTTCAACAATGTTAATACCTCCAACCAGACCCATCAAAGCCTCTACATCAAACGTGTGGGAGTGATGTTACACCTTGGCTAATCTGAGCTGATTCAAGGGGCCAAAATGCAAAACCTCTACCATCTGGACTGCTTAGAAATCTAGACGACTTGGCTGGTTGCGATTCACTTCTGACCAGCTTTGACACATTGCTGTGACCTGTTCAGTGTTGTCCGACCCATTATCGAACAAATCTATCTTTCTTTCTCTCTGTCCATCTTTTTTCGATCTGCACAACTACTAGCACTCTACCAAACCAAGACTTCTTTGTTGCAACCAGGATGCCACCACTCATGAGATGCTCGCGCTGTTCACGAGTGGCCATGACTCTGTCTGCCTGATTCACAGTTGAACTCCGGCAGTGCGATTTGTGCAACGTGGAGTGACTATGTATCGGTGAAACCAGTACATCTACGAATCTGCACCGGTCCTGCAGCAAAGACGCGGTTGAACTTGCGCCTTAGGCTGCTGCACCCTGAACGGTACTGTGAGGCTCGAAGTGACTTGCAAGTCCAAATCGTGCAATGAAGCAGCCGATCGGCCGGAAAAGGAGCCCTTCCAAACACGTTCACTTGAGCGGAAGCGGCTGCAGCTGGCTTTGTGCAGGCAACTAGACGGCCGGCTACAAAAACCAGGACAGCTCGTTCCCAAACAGCCTGAACAGCAGGCATCACGATTCCCGGCCTTCATCGCTGCGACCAGGAAGCTTGAATGGACGAAATTCCGACACCAACACCCCCCCAGGGCATAGCTGCGCGCTGGTGACCTTTGTTCTTGGGAGTGTGGGCCTTGGCGAAAACATCATGAGTTGACTCAAAGCACCATCCATGAATAGACTGCATGCAAAGAAATCGCGTTGCCCGCTTGATGCTGCAGCCACTCTGCTTCAATGCTCTGCACAATTCTGCCAACGGCTCCTCGCTGCGTAGCCTGGTGCCAAGACTTGAGCTTTATGAGCTATCTGTCTACGAGTGCGAAAAGCATGCTCATGTTCCGTCAGGCCTTGGAGCCAGTGCCAAGACCCGAATTCGTCAAAGAGGCTGTAACCCTGTCCGCCGCCAACAAGTTGCTGCAGAAGACTTCGGATTGAGTGAGCATGAAACGAAGCGGCCATCTAAGGATGGAGCGCAACAGCAGCTTCCGTCGACGTCCGGGTTGTTCCCTCTTCCACATTGTTCTTGATGGATTTCCTGAAATGATGTCATTCGCTCTGATCGATCATGAACCCAAGCTGCTTCATGTCAATAAGAACTGTCACGTGAACACTTGCCTCGAGGTCATGGCCGACAATGGAGCTGTGAATGCTGCAGGAGGAGGACCTTCGCCTTCTTCCTGCGAGGTCGACATTGCAGAGGACTGCAGCATCTAATCCCGGCCCTCACAAAGAAGACGGGGTTAGAGTTCTTCTGAGGGCAGCAACAAACGTGGTTGTCTTACAAGCGTGGAGCTATCCTCTTCGTAGTAGATCTCCTCGATCTGGGTTGTCTCGTGGTCCCCCAAATATGCAGTCGCACCTGGCCCAGCCAGCTTCTTCGAACTCCTGCACAACTCATCGCACTGGTGCGACAGCGAAGCTCGTCATGCACAAGGCATGCAGCATGTTCCAACTGACCATAAATTTCCTGAATTGCGTGCCAATTGTCAGCATAAGTACAAGCCGAGTTTCGTCTTGATCCTGGTTTCTTTGGTATGAGAGTGCGTGTGCCTGAGCTGCCAAACAGGGCGCATGGCAATTGAAGATGCCGACCGCCTGACAAATTCACATTGGAAAAATCGATTCTCTCCAGATCTTCCGATACCCAGTTGCGTGTGAGAATGCGTGTGAGAGGTGGTGTGCGAGTGCGTGTGCTTCTCCACCACCTCAGCTACTGGGTGCTTCGGCATTCCTCCAGTAAAGAGTGGGCACCATCGCATGCTTGTGCTCGAACGACTGGCCTGTCTATGACAGAGTCTACGAGTTGCTTTTGTGATCCCACTGCCTTAAACGATTCCGAATGCATATCAATGCAAATCGCCAAGTTCAGCGAGGAAAACATTGATTGCGTCGGCTATCGTATTGCTGCGTGGGCCCTTGCAGCCTACGAAATTTATGTACATCGGGCTCTGCCATCTATGAAACTTGGGCAGGAGGCATGCCTGAAGCCCTAGGACCCTAGGACAGGAGATCGCGAATTTTGCTGTTCTGCTCCAGGTCCTGAAGAAGAGCCTTCAGCACAAGGTCATTCTGTGTTGAACTGCTGAAACAAAGGCCAAGAGAGCCTGCCGCTCCATCTCGCGTACGCAAACATGCGCGCAGTTCTCTGCCGCCTGGTGGAGCTGGGGCGAAACGATCGGAGGCGACTCTCAGATCTCCATTCTGGCCTCGGCCAGCTCGGCCTCCAACCTGTCACAACGCTTCGGCTCAGATGCATTGCTTTGCCTTGCCGGGCCTCAGCTGAACGGAGCGTGCCAGGCCTTGCACACAGCACTTGCAAGCTCCAGCAGAAAGCCTGGACCCTTTGCTGGGCAAGAGCATCTCGATACACCAACGTTTTGACTCGTGAATCCATGACAGGGCACCAGGCTTAATGGAGTGGAACCACTTTCGTCTGTTTCATCCCGGTCAGCGCCTCCATTCAAAAGGACCTGCATAGGCAGGCTGGAGGTTCCCACTCCCGATAATGGGCAGACTGCACCTGAACCATCTTGCAGTTGTTCAGACAAACGGCCTGCAAAGCAACGCCCGCGAAAGCTCGACATTGCACACACATGTCTGATACACTGCTTATAGTGCTTAGAACTATCAATGTTGTTTACGCGTGGGCGACGTTCGTTCCCCCGTGGGGACGGAGCTCGCCTTCAGAAGGCTTTCTCGAGTAGATCCTTTGTGTCGAACCCTCATGAGTCTAGAGTAACCCAGACCGGTCGTCTAACCTTCCTTCCTTCATCTTCCTCCCCTAGGGTACGAGTCCGACGTCAGCCGGACCCGCGCTTTAAGCGCTCCTGGCGCTAAGTCCGCGAACAGCAAAGCTTCCATGAGTCACTTGAATGGCTGGCACACGGCTGGCGCATGCCTGGTGCAAGGCCGTGAAGCTGAAGTCTGAGCCGGACCAATTCACATCAGCCTGAGGGGAAAACGTGCCTTTCTTCTTGCAGTTTCTGGCCAAGCCCACATGCAGCACAGGCGTGCGTGGCCTGAGCAGCAAGTAGCACCTGCCACGGCTGCGAACTACGAATCCGCGATCCACAAGGTAGACAGCAGCCCCGAGTACCTGGGCTATCTGCGGATCGTCAAGGCCGGCGGCCCTGTAAAGTGGCGTCTCCCCCGCCTCCCCCGCCTCTCCACGCTCCTTGGGAGCATGGATCAGCCAAAATGCCATGGCTTGCTGTGCTGTGCTCCCTTTGCTCGAGTATGCCCGTTCTGAACAATCAATCAACAATTGTCCTCGTTGACATTGGCACCAACGCTCAGGAGCTGCTTCACCTAACAGATTGCATTTCTCTTCCGAGTCTTCCCAAGGGCCCAAGGGGCAACTGCCGCGGAAAAGCTTCCAAGTTTCTGTCCGTCTGCCTATGTCTCTTCACCCGTTTCACTTAGGCAAGCACCAATCCAACATCTCCACCTGCTACAGCAGAATGAAGATTGGGTGCCGAAGGCACGCCATCTGTGGCATGGCTGCTGTAGCCCTTGCTGTCCATTGCAATGTGTGATGTCCGCTGGCCTTTGCGGTGCTGCATGCAAACTAGTGACAAATAAGATTAATTCTGCTCATGCTGGGTGATGCCTCCTGCTCTCTTCTTGCACGTGCTCACTTTCAAGGCCACTTGAAGTTCAAGTGCTGTTGTCTCTTGAAAACAAGCTCAGAGCCGATCGTCAGGTCAGCAGGACAACTCAAGCAAGTATCTCTCTGCCGGGCACTTCCAATGAATAAACCTACGTAGAAGAATAAACCTGCGTAGAAGAATGGAGCTCATGCCACCAAATGCCTGAGGCCTGTGCTTTCGTCCTGCTAGCAAGGAGAACATCTTGAAGGAATGGCAGAGACCTATCTGAATCTTGGATCAGTCCTGATGCCCGGCTCGTCGTCTACCTTCTCAGAGAGCGCCATCGAGCCATCTCTGACGGACAAAGCCATGGACGGAGTCTTGGCCAACACCATAGAGCCTTCCCGTGCCCTGACCGACAAAGCCAAGGACGGTTGCCGAGACTCGGCCTCTGCTGAGAACTGTATGGCATCGTCTTCGTCTGCCAGATCGTGAAACTCTGGCGGTGTCTTGGACGAACCCCTGCTCTTTGATCCGACCAGATTGGAGAAGGTCGTCGAAGGCTGTTTTCTTCGAGGGTTTGAAGTCTCCGGTCTGTCTGCGAGCGCTGTGGAATCAGCTCTGCCGGAGAGTGTTTTGGAAGCTGGCTTTGATGCTGGTGGGGAGTCCAATCGTTCTGATAGGGATACTGAGCTCTGCGGCGATGAAACCTGTATCCAGCGAGGTGTGGTCGCAGACTGGGCTGCGGATGATGATGGCGCTTTCTGCGACTTGGACTTGGAAACCATGGTCAGCTTCTGGGACTTTGCGCCATTCCTCGGGGGAGAGTCAAGCCGCGCTGCTCGACTGAGGCGCTGCGAGCCAGTCAGTGGAGAACCCAAGAATTGCGTTGGCATCCTGGCAGGGCGCTCAAGTCTCCTGAACCTCTGGAGTGCTTTCCGATGCCTGGGGCCCATGAGCTTTGTGCTGCCTCCGAACCTGCGGAGCGGGTCCGAAAACTCGCGAATTCACCGTAACTGGAGCCACCAACATCGTTGCCAAGCTACCCTGGCCGATTCCAGTCGCGGTCGTACAGGCTGCCGGCTTGGTTATCCCGAACCTAATTCCACTCGAAGTGATGAACCACTCGACACTGCGTGCACTTCGTGTGAAAGGGCGGTACATCTTGCAGCAGGCCATTGAAAGCCGATGCCTAGGCCAAATCTCTGCTGCTGGTGCCTATACTATCAGGTGTGGGGAGCCAAGCACATGCTGGACACGGCATCCAAGACCCACGCAACCTCAACTGCACGTCTGACTTTGCGCCAGTTGGGCCCATATCCGCCCTCATCACCACCTTGCCAGCAGACTGGCAGAAGAATGTGTGTCGGTTCCAAACTGACACGTGCCTGGCAGAGTAAACATTCCAAGCACAGGCGCGGAGTCCTGCCTGCCAAAGATCTGTCCTCTTCTTCGTCCTCACTGTTCGGCCTCTGTGCATACTGGGGACGCATTGAATTCTGGAGCTAAATGAAAACCCACTCCAACCGTGCATGCACACCTACCCAGATATAGAGATAGATGCATGTGTGAATACATATACTTATGCGTGAGTGTGTGTGTGTATATATATATATATTAACCGCGTGGCCGTGCCAGCGGGATGCCGACGCCGGCAACTCCCCATCCACCCATGGGGAAGGCGAGGCGCAACCAGAATCCGCGTGACAGTCGCCGATTTTGGGCCTCGACCTTGCCACCTCCAACATGCCGAGAATTTAAATCATTGGCCCTGGCATCCATAGGGAGGACGGGGCGATCCGAACGTAGAACAAACACTCCAAATCCGCTTTAAAGTATTTCAACTTGCTGGGTAGTTTGGGCCTGCCGGCATTTTGGCAACTTGATTTTGGGTATGTTGGCGCATTTTTGTTTATACACGACCACAGCTGCAGCTAGTGCACTCCGTATCATGCATGAAAGGGCTCTCCTGCTTCATTTCGTCATCGGAAAAAGCCTTTTCCTTTTTCTTCTCAAAGCCGAAAACAGAATTGCTCGTTCGTGCAAAGAGATAGTTAAGCGCCCGACTTTGATATTGATAGATACATAAGTTCTTCAGTCGTTCAAGTCCCTCATCGAACAAAATCTCACTTTCGCTTGAGGTCAAATGTGGCCAATACATATAGAGTTGCTCTTCTGTCTCCCATAATGAGTTGTATGATACCTTGCCTATTTAGATGTATAGCACCATCCAGCCCCCACCCTTAATCCATCTTAAGATCTCACGCCCCGAAAATGTATACATACGTGTATGCGTATGTGTATATATATATATATACATACAGTTGATATATATATATATATACATATGATAGTATATATATATATATATACAATCTGTATATATATATATATACCAATAGATTAATTAAAAGGGGGGTTCAAGGACAGGGGCTTTGTATGTTGTCGTGCATGCTTCGCTAATTCTTTTCTCTCACTGTATTCCACTTGTTCTTAGTCTTCGTCGCCTACTTCGTTTCTTATTTCCCTCGCTCAGACTGGATTCTGTCTTGTGTCGCCTTGTTCGTTATTTTTGCTGGTCGCATTCGTTGTTGTTATTTCTCATTTCTCTTTGGCCTCTCTCTCGCTGTTTCCCTTGTCCCAGTAGCGGCTTAGTAGCGGTAGTATCTTTGATTTAAGTAGCAGTCTCTCCTCTTATGATTCATAGTTTTTCCCATTTTTCCCCCTATTACTTCTCTCTACACTTTCGACTTTTCTGTTGTCTTCGTTTTCTCGCGGCTTGGCTCTAAGGGCAGCTGGGTTTTAGTTAGGTTGTTCATAGAGTAAGCTAACATAAAGTCAAGATTGTAGACCTTCGGTTCAGCCATTGGGTTAGGTTTCGCTACTTTCTGGGACTTAGTAAGTGGTTCAGCGATAATCTTACTTTTTTGGCTCCCACTTGGCACCGTCAGCGCGCTGACACTGCATGGCAGGTCACGTGTCGGACTCGGAACACGATAATCTTATAGTTGTCAATAATGTTATTGTTGCTTGCGGGTGGTTCTTTGAGTTCAGCCAAAACATCAACGAAAACGACAACGTCTTCACTCAGAAGATGGTATGCTTGCACGCTTAATGCTATCAGTATTGTTGTGGTGCTCAGTTTGTGAAACAAATCAACGGTATCTGACGCTTTCCTGCTCAATATCCAGTGGTTGCTGTGACTTTGCCTCCCGTCTCTCTTTCAGACAATGAGGGTGACATTGCAGAATTACCTTCCCTGCGAGTCTACCGAGTCTACCGGTCTACCGAAATCCCGGCGGTTCAGATTTGAGGTTGAGCCCGACACGACCGCTGATACGATCATCAGCTACATCACTCATGAGTTTGACTCTTGCGTGTGCGCGGTTTCCGAGAACAAGCGTTGCAAACGTATGAAACCTCACCAGACGCTCATCAGCTACCTCCAAAGCTACAACATTGAGTTCAATGAGAGCCCACGGCTCGACGTGATGCTTACAGGAGTGTCTTCGCTTGAGGAAGAGTCGTGAGACAGCGATCAAAGCGACTACGATACATCTGACGACCGCGATGACGACCATGGTAACAGGAAGTCAGGGATGGAGAAGACGACAAGACAAAGGACAAGCACGACAAAGACAAGCCGAGCGGTTCGTCAGGTGAGTCAGTCAGTGCTTCCAATCCCGATGATGCGATGGTGCTTACGGGAGAGGAGGTGGCAGACCCTGAGCTGACTGAGATGCTGGAGACGGCATACACCAAGGAGAACTACGAGAAGGTGAAGAATCGCGCGTTTTCTACGTCAAGACGCTGAAGGGTGCCAAGGTAGAGGTTGATGGCTTACAGGAGCAGGCGAATAAGGACTCCCAAGGGGCAAAGAAGCAGGAGGCAAGGGACCAGCGTGAGAATCTAGGCACGCTCAACGTGCGCATCGGTGGTGAGAAGATGGTCACGGTTCAGGCGAAGAACTATACTTGGAGGATGGGTCTGTGCTGAGCTACAACTTTCAGGGAGTTGGAGGCGGAAAGTGCGCCTAGCCTTCCACCTCCGAGAAGGAGGTTTTGGTCTTCGCGAAAGCTCTGGTCTGTCTCTGTGTGTTTAGCTTTGCGTGTGGTATGTGTGTACATCTGGATGCATGTATGTACGGCGTCTGTTCCTCGGCCCAACCTGTACAAAAACATGCACGCTATATACTGGTTGAAACAAGACGGCACTTAGACACCTGGATATCCCACTGGCTGCAGGCTAGGCTCTTATCCTCGATTTCGGATCCTCTGATCTGACCTTCCTTCAGCATCCCCTGAGGCAAGACGGAATTCGCAGCCTGCAGCCTGTGCAACGTCATGTTGATCGAAACCTCGCCTCGAGTATATTGACAACCCCACGAGACGAAAGCTGGTCGCCACCTGCGCGCAGTCTCGGCTGGGTGCCCCCGTCGGCTTCAACTCTGGCAGGCAACATCGACTGGCAGCAAGTGCTTTTGGACACAGCTCGCTACCCAAACTGCGCGATCTTTCCCGGCTCGCAAAGCCACCTGCGCAGCAGGGAGAGGGACAGCATGACAAATCATACACTGTCGCCGCTGCTTGCAACAAACGTCCTCGTAGCAGGCAAATGGCTACACGGACGGTACTGCAAAAAATTACAGGCCAAGGCCTACTTACCTCCATAATCAGGAAGAGATACATGAGATCGCATTTGCGGGTCTTCAATTCTGGATGATATCGCTCCATCAGAAGCTTGGAATACTTGAACCTTGCGAGGCTCAGCACATGCTTCTCGTGTGGGTGATGCGTCCGCAAGACTATCCTCCTTTCAACTTTCAGCATAAAGCACATCCCTGCCCTTAGCTGAGTGTCGGCAGCTTGCTCGTACAGCGAGAGGAGCCGTAAAGCGCAACATATCGGTCCAAGTTGTAGCATAGCCTGTATACTTTGTCACGGCCATAGCAACGGGTCTGTCGAATTCGCACTATCTGGGTCCATTTGTGCGCATCGACAGGGCTACTGTCGCCTAGTGACGGCAAGCGAAAGACTTCAGATTCAAGAAGTACAAAGACTTGATCAAAAGTGGTTCTGCACAGGCCAAGTTACTGGCAGTTGGGGTCTCTGCCTCTGTACTGCACCTGGGAAGACTCGGTTGAGGGAATGCACCCGTCGAGTCAGAATCCGTGGCCCAGACGGGTTGCTCCTTCACAAGATGCTGGTCCTCTTTCCTGGGTTCAGAGATTCCCGAAAGGGGTAACAGAGAAGTGGGGGAAGCCCACCTCATCTTCAACTCATAGGTGGGCTTGCCCACTGGTCCCGAGTAGTGCCGGAATGCAGCATCTTTGGGGCCCGCAAGTGGGATGTCCTGGCCGGCTTGCCATCACCGGGAAAGAACACACGGAAACCTATACAGGTCTATCATCTATCTTCGCGACGACATTCGGCCCCGCAAGCCCTGGAACCCTCGGTGCAAACTCCTTGTCGTTGTGCATCTGTGCAGCTTCCTCCCATGGCATGATGGTCCATCCTCGAGCTGCCAACGCGTACTGGAGAGCAAAGTCTGACGAGTATATCTCTTTCGAGAACTTCTCTCCCAAATAGTTCCTCGGCTGCGCGACCAGGTTGACCGCTACGAACAATTGGCTGAGCTTCAAAATGCATCAAAATCCTATTATGGTCAAGCGGACTAGCAGTTGGCAAGCTTCCAATCAATCTCCGCAACGCGCTCATCTGAAAACGCATCCAGTATGGCCTCTCGTCTGTAATAAGATCCTCCACACAAGCCGGCCTGCAGGTTCTGCTCGGAATATTTCAGCAGGACTTGCAATCTGTTGAACTTCTGAGGCTTTCGCTTGCTGATTCTTTTTGCGCCACCTGGCTGGCATTAAGAATAAGTGGTATCTAAAGATGACGGCAGATGTCAAGGCTGGGGGAAGTGTGGTGCTGTAGGAGCTCTCGGATCTGAGCATAAGCAGGCGGAAGAGGAGGAGGAGGAGAGTTCGAGTCCAACAGCTCTTGGCCGAGGTACTTGTAGCCATCCACGCGTTTCTTGGCAAGCTTCTCCACCTCAGAGTTTGGTGCAGGCACACCCTCGTGCGTCGCCAATGACCACTATGCCTTGGTGCCAAGCATAATCAGCACCTGCGAAACTGCGATCCCTGACCAGCACTCCTCCCGCATCGTACTTGGGCGGCTCCTTTATTGGGCCATGAATCCTTGGCTGGGTGGGGCGCAGGCGTGTCCTATAAGTAGGTGACTTTGCTTAGGTCTTAGCATCAGCATTTCCGAAGGCTCTTACGAACCTGATTTCGCAAGTGCCTGTGACAAAAAAATCTTCCAAATCTTCGGCGCGAGAGCAAAACAAGAGACACAAAAACGAACTGTCTGATCATCGCATGTTGTGCTGCAGGTGACTCTTCGCTACACATGCCAAACCCCATCCACCACCCGGCGTGTTGCTAAGCTGCAAGCCGTGGTGAAAATAACAACTCGTTTGCCCAAATTTGCCAACCCGCCACCGACTACTTCCTAATGCATCGCTGCTCTCCCGATTGTCGAACCGACTTCTGCTGGTGCAGGGTATGCCAGAACGAAGTGAAGCGGTGCTTTCGTTTCAAAGGACGGTCGTGGCAGCAGGGCGGGGGGGAGCTGGAAGATATATGGATATCCATGCTCCAGATCCACGGGTCCTGACCAGATTAAGGAAAAAGCAGCAATGCCATCTGCATAAGTAATGCGACCACGTCATCGTTCACGCGGATGCTGATGCCGAAGGGGGATGCGATTCACCATTAATCTGTGCACTCCACAAGCTCCACCAGCTCACCCTTCTCTACCCGAAACTAACCGAGTTCACCATGATCATGATCCCAGCTTGGTCGCAGATGGTGCATTGGTTGCGACAGAAGATCTAACACACCACCGTCGGCATAATGTATTGCCTCCCCCGGTAAAGCACTGCCTGTTGCAGATTGCACCAATCAACTCGGCTCTTCAATCAACCTCAATGTCCTCATACTGCAGGTCACTGGGCGTGAAATGTTTCCATCCGAGCATCCAAGTTGTTGAGTCCACACACCAACAGAAAGCACCATAGAAAATAGCCCTCCCTTTTCTCGAACTGCTCCGTGCACCGACTCTCTGCTGCGTGGGGAAGGGTAGCGGCTAGGAAAGGCGCTCGCTCTTGGCTATTCAATTCTTTCTCCCAGCTTTACTGTAGGAACGAAGTGAAAGCACTTTCACATTTGCCAGCAAGGGCTCGACCATAAACTTTGAACTGTCCAGCTGTTGGCCCAAGTAAGCGGTCTGGCCAGTAACCGGGACTGCGCCCGAGGATCCTCCAATCACAGGCGCTCAAGACATGCTCACTGGAGCTCTGTCAGGGGTGTCATGCGTGGATTTTACTAGCTGCCTCATTTTGGGCTTCGGCTACACTGCGGACGACCTCGATGCAAGGGAGCGGGTTCGATGTCTCGGCTCCACTTACAACAAGCTCGATCCCAAAGCACTGCGTTGCAGATGCTGACCCATCTCACCAAGTTCTCTCTCTCTCTCTCTCTTGCGTTAGGTCCATGCTTTTCACCACCACATGCAATAGCAAACGTTCAAGTACAACTGGTTTTACCACCCCGCCGCTCTCTTCGTTCTTTTCTCCCACGTGTGTCAACAAAAGTGTCGCCATTCTTCCTTCCCAGCTGCATACACATATCATCCCGACCACCTTCTAGCAGCTTGAGCTCGCAGCTGCGTTTGCTACATGCAGTACAAACCTTAGGCTCAGTCATGCGCGAACCATGAGAGCTGCATCCGAACATAACTGCCGTCATGTCCGGGATGTAGATTCAGCCATTGCCAGCGAAGGCAAAATAGCGAAAATGCAACAACCATCGTGAACAGCTGTCGCGGTTTACAGATTGTCGATTGGCATCTTTTTAATCCATTTCCCTATATCAAAAGAGGCTCCTGTGCGAACTGCGAACAAACACACTCACTCGGGTGTGTACAGTGTTCGGGCTGGCGGCGTGTTGTCGGGCTCCAACATGATGACGAACTCCGTGTTCAGAGCCTCTGCTGCATCGTACAGCCTGTCGGGGACGAACGGGATGAGTTCCCGCCGGCTGGTGTTCAGGAAACCCTGCCTTCGAAAGAATGGCCACGGGTGCCAGCGGTCGTTGGCAGGGGGGCAAACAGTCGCAGTACAACCTTCGGACGTGACCAGCAAGGCATCAATAGAGTCTGGTGCAGGTAGGTCACTGTCGTTTCACAGGTACAAATAGGTCATAGTCGTTTCAGGTCCTGCATTCCTTGAAAGTACAGTCGTGGCGAACATGACTGTATTTCAGGCTTGCTCTTTCTAGTGGACTTCGCGTGTTTCAATGATTTGCAGGTGGCACTTCGTCCTCGCCTGGAACCCATGGCCCGATCCCGATCTAGTATACCATGTCGGACAAGTACTGGCCTGTTTGATTGCACAGAGGACCGAAGTCAAGGCCACCATCACCTCAGAACATGTTCGGCATAGAGCCATAAAGGTTCAAGTCCCGTGGAGCTCTAAAGGGCCAGATGAAGACAAGCGGCTCATGATGTATACCGGTGACTTCGGAAACACTTCCTTGAGTTTCCGCACCTGGCACTAGCAACTGCAACAGCATGAAAAGCTTGATTCGAACCCGGACTCTGCCTTGGGCAGTCGCAGAGACGGAGTTGGTTGCAGTGCTTGGTTGCGGTGTTTGAGCTTATTGGCTGGCTACTTGCAAAGAATGCAGTGCGGAGCTTTAAACGGATGTCAGCTGACCACATGCTCAAGTAGCTCATCAGCAAGCAAGAGCTTTACCAGGACAAACCCTCGTGGTCATACATCGGTCATCATTCGGTAGCTTGCTCTTCAAGCTTCTGCTGACCAGACAGTACGTGGAGCGGAACATAAAAACGACTACCACGACCATGCACAGAACTGCCCATCACCCTTGGAAAGCACTGGCAGAATTCGAGAATGAGTCAGAATGAGTGGTGTGCAGTGTAGCCCCGTGCCTAACATTCTGGAACAGTGAGCTATTTCGCAAGTGCGGACTGACAAGATGCAAGCGCGGCCTGGTAGAGAACTGCTGCAGGAGAGTGGAACACGTGCAGGTAGAAGCCATATTTCTCGACTTGGAACCGCAGCACGACCGCTTCTGAACAGCAACTACAGCACCTGACAGCCAGCTGGGGTCGTCTCCGACCCGGGTGGTGCTGGCAGGACTGGCGAATCCAGATCCACCTGCCCGACAACTGTGTACATCCTGCTCGCCAAGACTTGTCGAAGACACCTGTCACCTGCAGATATCCGGCCTGTCGTTGATGCAAAGCGGAGCGCTTTTTTTCCTGGCTCACCTAAGCAACTCAGCAAGCTCGGCTTTCCAGACCCGCGCGCACCTGCACACTGCCTGCACATGCACCACAGCCCTTCTCGGGCCCTGCAGGCAGGTCACACAGGCTCCCAAGGTCGGTCTCACAGGGCTCACCCTTCGTCAAGTGCGGGTGGTAGCGCTCGATTAGGCGATCGGAAAACCTGGGCAGAAGCGCAAGAAACTAGTAGCGCACATCCCGTGGGGGTAGCTTCAACCGAGAATCTCGAATGCCTTTCTATTTGTACATCTGTCCGTTCCCCATCGCTCAACGTATCGCTCGAAGCTGTAACCTTTGGAACATTCGGACAGGCAAAACTAAGGACATACATTGTGGCACGAGACAGATCATACGGCACACGGGTCCTATGCCATTCCGCCATGCCGCACACTTGACAAGTCAGGTCCTTTCCCTGCAGATGGTGCAAATGCCGACTGCGCTCAGACGATACGGCAGATTGGGTGCCCGAGAGCCTGGTACTCCTCAGACTCGCTGTACAGTTTTGCATCCTCAGGCTTCAATTGCACCTCCTCAGCTGCACATGCTTGGGCAAAGCAAGTAAGTGGCCGTTGGGCACGTCTCTTTCAAGGCCGTTGCGTACGCCGGGTTTCCGAGAAGGAATGCTGCATCTTGGTTTCTATCCTGCAAGAAGCTCAAGGAAAGGTTGCAAAAGCCAGACTTGGAATGCAGACCGTGCCGAATGCCTGTGTCTTGTCCTCGTGCATCTTGACTTCAGTCCACGGCATGACAGCCCAGCCGCGCGCTGCAAGAGCATACCTCACACCAAACACGGCCAGAAATTCTCCACGGCCAGCGGAGCAACCGGTAGTCAGTTAGATGATACCTTGCCTATTTAGGCGTATGGCACCATCTACCCCCACCCTAGGATAAAAATCTATCTTAAGATCTCACCTCACACCCTGGGATAACATCTATCTTAAGAACTCAGCCCGAGTGGAATGATCCCAACCCAAGTTACCATCCTAGGAACAAAGCTTACGTCTATCTAGGTGCCATACGCCAAACTAGGCAAGGGGTTCCTGGTAGCACTCGGTTCAGGGTTTTATGACACTCACACTCGGACAAGCCTGGCGAGGTCTGTAGCGGCACTGTTGCGATACTGGTCCAACGATGAAACACCAGATACTGCAGGACTGTTTGACTGAGCACCACGTTGCCAGGAAGAGCTGATGACAAGACAACCACAAGCAAGCAACGATACTCACTAGCCCATCTGACAACAGACCTCCATGCAACTAACCACCTACTTCACGCCGTGTGAAGGCCCAGTGCAATCAGTAGGTTACCTGTACCTCAACTGTGTTCATCGCTACAATCTTATTTCAAACTGTTTAATCAATGAAGAAAGAACTGACAACAACGAAAGGAGAAATAACAAATGTAAAATAAACATAAAGGAGATAGCGATTGGTATAATGTAGGCTATTGTATATGAGCGATTTTCACTCTGAGTATGCTACCTGTATGGAACTACTTGAGCAACAAAGCAAACACATTTCGGAAACCGATATACTCTTCAAGGCGATGAAAGAACTGTTGGACAAATTAGACGAGGAAGACAAGAAAGTAGTGTTGGGATCATCCTACTGGGGCTGAGTTCTTAGGATGGATGTTACCCTAGGGTGGGACGGGAGATCTTAAGATAGATTTTTATCCTAGGGTGAGGGGTGGGCGGTGCCATACACCTAAATAGGCAAGGTATCATCTAACTTAGTCCGGGGTGCTGCATCGCGGAGTCATAAGAGAAGATCTCCTCCAAACACGACTGACACCGACTGGCGCTGTGCACCCTGAGATCCCCTCAGCCAAACCCTGCGCCGAGTCGACAAGTGGACTTTTTGAAGCACAGCAATGGGAGCTTCGCCGCTGCAGCCAGGACCGTGCCCTCGTGGATTTTCAGTCCTTCCGTGGCCGCACACTGCAAGGTCTCGCGGGGATTGCAATTTTGAAGCCCGGCCTTCTGCACTGTCGCCCAGCGGCCAAGGAGCGCTTCCATGTCCTCCGAGTCGCTCTCGGAGGCCTCTTCCTCTCCCAGTCGCCGACGCTTCTCGCGGCGATCCTCAGTTTCGGTCAGACTTCCGCCAAGCACCTCCTCACGACGCCTCCCTTAAACCGACACGGCAACCACTGATTCCACAGATGTCTCTGATCTTTCTTATTCACGGACAGCTGCACTCACACACCATCACACACTTGTTGTCAGCTCATTCACGATGGCCCAGTCTTCTAGGGAAGGGACATCCTTCTCTGAATTGCGACACGACAGCCGACAGCTAAAACTGCTGCTGTCACGTTAAGGGATTCAGGGCCGACTCTGTGCTGGACAGGATGGGCCACGTGGACACAGCTTCTTCTACCTGTTCCCCTGGCCGTTGGCTGGCATCGGGGTACTGCCCCGCAGGTTTTCGTGCAGACACCGCTCTTGGCAAAGAGGTAACGAAGGGAGGGACCCCGACATCCGGGGCTGCGGCTGGTACCCACACACACAGACAAATAGACTAAATAGGCATAAACACCACTGAAAAAAAAAAAAAAACACCTTTTTAGTACTTACTGCAGGAGTCGTCCTCCTCGGCCCGCAAGGCCTCCGGGGCATAGGCTTCGCCCAGGGACCAGGCCCTCTCGCCGCCGTAGAATTGCACGAACAGGGCGTTGATCTTGAACTTCTCTGTTTCTGGCAATGCATTCCTTGCTTGTGTGCATCGGACTTACGACCCACTCGACCCCAAACCGAAATGGAAGTCAAGTCGATGCCAATCCAGGTCAAGTCACAGTGCGCCTCTGTAGAAGCCCGCGACAGCCCGTGGGGCTTCCAGCGCCAGTTCCTCGGCACGCTTCCGCTCCCGGATTTGGTCCAACTTCAGCGCCATGATTCGCTTCTGCGTGCCGTCTCCGACACACCGAAAATTTAAGCCCATGTGTTTGCAAATTTGTCGGATGTCTTCTCGCCCGGTGCTGTTCACATCGGTTCCGAAGCCGAGCTCCAACCGCAGCGGGTCTTTGGAAAAAGCTTCCAAGGGCCTCCAGTGCGGTGAGTTCTGCAAGCGATTCCAGCCTCTTTGGTAGGCCATCAACTGATGCAGGAGCTATCGGCTTTCCCATGCAACATGATTCTGCTCGCTTGAGCCCACTGACAGCGACATCGGTACATGCTCGTCTGCTGCTTGCTCGCATTCGCAAAGTTTGGGCCGAGATTCAACAAATGGAACATTGCTTATGCAAATGCTCCTTGCTGAAGTTCTCTGCGAGCATATTCCAGTCTATCTTCGCGACGTTCTCATCCGCGAATGCATCCAAGACCACAGCTCTGCGGAAGCAAGATCCTCCACGAAGGGCAACCTGTCAGCAGAAGCAACAACATGTCGAGAACCGTGCCCATTGCAAATTTCGCAGCTGCTTCTCCCAACTTGCACAGCCTGCTGAATGCTGGGGGTCCAGTGGAAATCAGAAACGCGGACACGGGCCAGCCGCTCGACCTGACAGCTTTGGCTTCCGAGGCTACTTCCGCGGCTTCCACTTCTCTGCTTCGTGCTTTTGTTGGCTGGCTAAAGGAACAGAGTGTGGCTGCGAGAGCATGGGGTGAGGTGTCATCATGGCAGATGGTGACTCGTTCAGGTCGGTGATGTAGCCAACATCAGCATCAGAGGAGACCCATTCCCCCACCGACGCCAGCTCCAGGTGGGATAGATCGCCCGATTTTGTGAGATGTTGAACCAAGCTCCCTGAAAACTCCGGGGACCTTCTTGACTAACACAACCTCTCGCAGTCCGGGCTTTGAACCTCCTGGCACTTGTACACTGCGGGACGCCGAAATACTCTCAAAGCCTAGAGTCTAGAGCACCTGCAGGTCTCGGGAGCACACAACGTTGTGAGATCCCACCCTCCTCCCCCTTATCCCTCCCCTCCTAAACCTTCATGAAAGCTGCGACCGGCTGCTCTGCACATCAGCTGGCATCGCTGCATCTGGGGCCGTCACGTATTCACTGCCACCAAGCTTGCTGTCCTTCCGCTGGGGTGCATAAACTCTGCAAGCAATGGGTTTTTTGTGCACGAGCGAAGTCACCTTCACAAGCAGGCCCCCCGCATCAAAGTCAGGCTTTTGCCTTATGCTCCCATGAAGCCTTTGCTGAGTTGAAGACTTTGCAGCTGCCTCATAAACAGAAAGCTCAAGACTCAAGGAATGTCGTGCGGCGCCGAGGAACGTGTTGTCAGGCTCCAGAAGTATCACGAATTCGGATTGCAAGTACGTTGCGGCATCGTGTAGCCGTCGCAAGAAAGGCCACCTCGTTGTCGGCAGCAGCACGAAACTGCTGGGCAACATCTAAAAATGATCCCCGGCTGTACTGAATTCTTGCCAGTGTCGGATGCCATCGGTCGTTAGCAGGTGGACACATCACAAATTTGCAACCTTCTGCTGCACAAAGCGGTGCAAAGTCCATGTATCCTGGCGCTCGGGGCAATGCTCAGGCTGGTCACACTGCTGAGAACGTCGGCAACGCAGTCAATCGAAAGCCGGGACTTGCAAGGCTCCTTCACTCATCAAATAGATCCTCGAAGCCATCGTGGCAAAACTAGCAACATGCAGCACCGAGGCCCAAACTACAACAACTATTTTGGGCAAGCCAGCGTCGGAGATCCGGCAAAAAACTTCTTGACCTCCTTGATAGAGCCGACTTGGGCAATCAGTTGTTATTCTCAATCAGAAATACAGCAGCACCACAGAGCGTGAGATTTGCACCAAGGCTCTCTCACCAAGCGAATCACAGCTGCCGGGCGCCCGTGAGCATGTATGTAGAATCCGTACCTTTCTTTCTGAAGCAGGCACCGACAGCAGTGGAACAGACCCCAAGGCAATTCGTTTGCAAGGAAGTTGCCAGGATGAGCTGAGGTCTTGGGGGTTCGACAGTGCTGCAGACTTTGGCAGCTCGTGTTCATCTGGCTGTCCTTCGCAGACCGTGGGGACAGTCGGCTTCACTGGACACAGTGCCCGAGTCTGGCCTTCTGGCAAAGAAACGCTTCCTAGCGTAAGCTCGAAGCCCACATTCGCCAGCAGTGTGGTGCGCTCCCCAGGCTGCCCAACCACGAAAAACGCCTCGGCGTCGTGAACATAGGGCGGGAAGCGCTGAGGGCTGGCCGCTGCAAAGACTTCTGCAAAGTGTCCACAGCACCACCCAGGAAGATGAAGAGCGACGTCCGGTAAGGCCAGCATTGTCTGCTCGCTTTGCGCCTGGCAATGTCCATGACCGCAGCTTTCCGACTATATATTTCAGACTAAGGAATCACGGCATGAACTACCGGGCTTCGATGCCAGACTCTGTCTTAACAGGCGAGGGCTGAAGGGGGGTTGAGAAGTGTTTCGACCCAGGATTCGGACGTGCCTGGCCATCGTCTTGTGAAGTCCACGCGTGCGCTGCGAGCAGGCGAAGGGGCCATGGCTCAACCAACTCCCTGGAGGTCTCTCGGCCTTCCACACGTGCAGCTTCATGGCCGCTGCGGTACTAGTTACTCAGTTACTAGTACCTCGTCATGGAGCATCCTGGTCTACAGACTCTCCGCACGGATTTAGGGGAGATACCGGGGCACATGTGAAACCTTACATGCCTCATGAGATGCGGGAGCTTACGGTTCGAAGGTATGTGAAGTCTGAGAAGCAAGTCTCGAAGCAGATGCACAGATTGCACGGGCTCTGGACGACCATCAGCAGCAACAGGAGAGCTTGCCAATGTGTGCGTCCTGAGCACGGAAGACTTCGACCCACGGGCGGCATGCAGCTACAAGAAAACAATGCGAACTTCGCGATCGGAATGAACAATTTTGCGGCTGGGGGTCCAATCATCTTCGTACAGCTGCTGGGTGTTGTGCGCACGGACTTGCTGCAGCAGCTGTTCAAAAGCAGCCGCCGTACCTTCGTGCAACTGAAGGAAAGGTGCCTTCTGCACAAGCACATGCCGCATGCCGATGCAAGGCCGTTGCCGTATTTCGCGCGTAGCTTTCGCCACCCGGCAGACTGGCCGGGTGAGTCTGGTGAGATCTCGGAGACATCCTGAAAATCGGATGTACAGCTGCGCCGTTCTGGATCTGCACCTAACTAAGCCATCAGTGCCTCCATCTGCATATAGGACCCAATGGAACCGATGGAAACGGCCTGAGACCTGGGACCAGAATATCCAATGGCGGTATGGTTGTTTGAAGTGTTGCTTTCTCGGGCAAATGCGGCCAGCAACTTCGGGAGCCGTCGCCATCATCATCCTCAACACCCATCATCACTTCTCGGTCACAATCGTCAACGCCTGGCAGAAAGCGATGCGAGCTCCTGAGACTAGACACGCTTACAGTAACAGCTCCAGTGCTCGGCCTGGGCCGTGCTCGTCCACCTGCAAAGCAGGGCACGTGAATGACGGAACGACTCGGAACGACCTGAGCTCTCCCCAGGCGCCTGCAACGCACCGGCAGGTGGTGCTTGGAAGAAGCGCTCCTCGGTTAGCGTCACCTCTCGTCCTCGCTGCCGTCCTGAGGCCAGGCCCAGACCCTAGCAGACCCTAGCGGCCCTAGCTCGGAGCCTTAAAAGTTTAGGAGTTTAGGCTGAAAGAACGACTTCCCTACGCATTCCTTCATGGGCCACGACTTCAAAACCCAGGCCGCACCCTTTTTTGCGCCGCCGCGTTTCACTTCGTTCAGTGGTCCGCCCTCATGCCGAAGCACCGAGGTGTTGACCTGCGGGTTGAGCTGCCATCCCGTCGGCCATGATGTGGTTTTTCACTACCTGGACCTTCTTGCTGGCAAGCGCTCTTGGTCGATCCACTTCCCTGGCCCCGTACTTCGATTCTGACAACAGTGTACCAAGTCACCACCAATTAGCATGCTCGCCATGTTCAGAGAAATGTTCCCACGGCTGCCCGCTTCGGCCATCTTGTTCTGCGCACTCTTGCATCACTCCCAGCGCCATCAGCCCGCCGGACTGGTGGTGTCCTGGGACTTCGGAGACCGTGAAAGGGTGGCAGACCAGGCACTAGCAGATATTCCATAACCAGTCCGCCCATCCGAGCAGAGAGCACCGGCATCGCTGAGCTCCATGCGGCTGATGGCAGAGGAATGTAGGGCTGAGGACCATATACTTGGTTCGAGATGCCTGGTATTTGAGTTAACGGTGGTAAAGGGCCCCACTGCATAGTCTCGAGTCCAGGCCCAGGCTTTTCGCCCTCGCTGGAGCTGAGCGCATTGTGCTTGGTCTCACGCTCGCGTCCAATCTGGGCCGGTGCTTCTGGCACCTCTTCCAGGGACCAGAACTCACAAACTTCAGTTGCAGCGCATCAGACTGAGGCTGCAGCCTTCGATGCAAGAGGATCTTCGAAAGCATGCTGGCCACCACAGTGCAGCTTGATGTAACTTCGAACCTTCACCGCCATCGCAGGATACTACAGCCTGCAACCGAACAGATGCACCAATGCGGAAAAGCGGCGGCTCGAAGCAACGGCTCCCCATCCAATCCTGAGTCACGACGAGTGCAGCGTATGGGCTTGCCCCACCAAGCATGGGCCGAATCCCTCCAAACTAGCCGAGGGGTCTGGTCAGCTGTAGCTTTAAGCAGCTCGCGGAGCTCAGCCCCACTGGGCTCGGCTGATCTTCCTTGCGTGGTACGAGAAAAGCATGGCTGTCTTCCACTGCTTTGCACGGACCCGGGCTCACCTCCAGCATCTCCTGGTCTTGAGGCCCTACTACCAACATGCTCTGTCTCCCCTTCAGCTCTGGTGCATTCCACTACAGTCAGTCACGAACTTAGTCGAGGCGAGGCTCCACCATGGCGTACCGCGCAAAGTTGTCCAGCGCCGGGAGCCGATTATAGCGTGCCTGAGCAGCTCGTCTGGGTCGTGTTGCGTTCGCAATAGAAGCCTAACGAAATTAATGCCCGACAAATTGCCGTCAGCTCCTCTCCGGTAGAGATGTCTCGGCTTGCGGTGAGTATCACTTCCCCCGTGTTCTGGTTGCAGGAGTACTCCACATTGGGTGTGCTGCTGTGGTTTACCAGATCGGCAACCGGTGCCAAGTGCAGGCCACAATTGGATTCGAAGTTGCTTGTTTCCACAACCAACCGGCCCCAAAGCACATCTGCGAACTTTAAGTGCTTGTGGCTCTCGCTGTTGTTGTACACTCCCAAAGCGGAGAGCATGCTCGCTCGTGTGCTTCGCACGGACGCGACAATGGGGGCAAACTCAGGGGTTTGGTCAAGCACACGAAGGGCGGATTCGGAGGCCGCGAGCGGAACTCCAAGGGACTCGAACTCTGCCAGGGAAGGATAAGAGTCGATGGCCGTCCTCAGTTTGAGCATGAAGTGCGCTGCAGGTTTCATTCAAGACGCCTTATCTCACGACGAGCTGCTGCCAGAAGCGACCCTGGGTACGTCCAGCAGGCCAAGCACGCATCTCGGCCACAAGCAGGGCCAGCTTGCACCGGTCATCGCGACAGCCGGCAAAGCGCCTGGCGGCAGATGCAGTGACTTGCTACTGCAGCCCATCTCTCCGTCAACTAGCGCCTGCCCTCCGCATCCTCAGGGTGGATGACGTGGCTTGGCGGCGCTGCAAAGATCACATCACCCCTCTTCACCGAATGTCTTGGCCGCAACGCTCGGCTCCGGATGCTGCCATGCGTGGTCAAGTCCACTCCTGCAACTGAAATTTCTCGGGCAAGGGACGCAAGACTGCAGGACACAGCTGTGTGTCGTGTCCTAGATCCGGATCGCGAGTGGGCTGCCTGAGAGTGGCGTAGATCAAAAACTGATTTTCCCTTCTGACCCAATCAAGTAAACGCAAGCTAGGCCAGGTCGCAAAAACTGAAGCAATGTCTGAGCGCCAGCGAGTGCCCCATGTGGCATGCCAACTGTCACATCTGCTTGCGGCGGGCACTCGAAGTATTTCATGCGATGCTGCTTGTTGCCTCCATACAGTACGTCCTCTGTCTGAAAGTACGGGATTGTCACGCGGTTAGCCTAACTCCTCGAGCGGCAGGTGCTCTCTGAGAGGAACGGCTGTCGACATGCTGTTTTTGCTTCTCCCGCACATGCCAACGCCAAGATCGGAAGGCGCCTGCGCTGGGATCAAACTGTGGAGACATTGGCGACGATGGGCTTGGGGATTCCGGCTGCTTCTTGGTCAAGCCTGGCGGGGCTCTCTAGAGCTAGTCGTAGCTACAGCTGCAAATCAGCTGCAAGATGCTGACAGTGCTTGACACATCTTTAACCCAATTTCTCGGATTTCTCCGTCCCACACCTCGCTTGCACCTTCGGACCCTGAGAGTGGGAAGACAGACACTGCCTACCTTACATCTTGATAGACACGGACTCCATCATGACTGGCTCTACCGGTCTATCGCTTTGCGTATAGACCTTCGAGATCTTCACAGCCACATCGTAGCCGTCAACTACGCGACCAAACACTGGATGTCGGGAGTCGCCAGGCGAGAACCAGTCCAAGAAGGTGTTGTCTCTGACCTCGAAAGAACAGCAAAACGGGATGCTCCCCTGCTACGGCCTGCACAGAAACGTCTCCGGGCGAGGCACGTTGATGAAAAACTGCGACCCGCCAGAATCCGGCTGGCCAGTGTTGGCCATTGACAAACTGCCCTTGACGTTGCTGTCTTGAGAAACAAACTCGTCCTCAGGAGCTCCAAGCATTGGTGCTTCCCAGAAATTTCACATAAGACTCGAAAAACCTCGAACATGCCATTTTTCAAAACTGGTCCTTGATGTTGCCACCTCTGAACCGCTGCTCGGTGATGCCGGTGGCCAGATTTTGGAATGACCCGTCTGGTGGCCCGCCCGTGCCTGCGTAAGGACTGAACGGGTCCTGCAACAATGAGTATCGCCAACTGCTCACCCGATGGCATCCCCAATACACACACACACACATGCGCGTGCGGGCTGTATTCAGTAAGTGCACATCATGACCACACCCAATCCTCGTCAACGAGGGCGGGGCATCACCCGGAACTTTCATGGTACAGGATCCCCCGACAAATTACGTCCTTAAGACAGGTGCCCCTGCTCCTGCCCACATGCTATGCTCGTTCTATCGTGCACCGTCTCTTGCTCTGTCTTTGTATTAATGCACTGATTACACCAGGCCCTGCAAAACAAGGGGCTGAACCGAGTCAACCCAAACCGATATTCGCTGCAGTTCCCTGCTTGGCCCAGCGTGAGCATTTCCATTGCTACATGCAGAAGCATGGCGCTGCAATGCGTGATGCTCATCGAAGGGTATCAAACAAAGGCACCTCCAATCCTACATGCAATGATTTGTGACAGCCAAATTGCATGCAGGCCAATCGGTGCGCTGATACATCAAGAGCAGCCGGTTGACTCAGCTGAGACATCTGAAGGAAAGGGTTTCCGTCGCGGAAACTTAGTGCCTATTGGTACCGAATCCCTGCCCTAGCCGTGGCAGCAAACAAAGAGGCACGGAAGCATAGTTTCTGCGATCTTCAACAGATGTCTCGGTCCCCCTGTCGCGAAAGATTCAAATGCTCTGCAAGCACAAGACTCAAGGTCCTTGGCATTGGGGCAGCCGAATTGAACCATGAAGTTCGGAATGACTCTGTGAAAATGCACACCGTCGTAGAAGCCTGTCCGGGCAAGGTCGATGAAGTTCGAGGCTGTGCGTGGCACCCGGTCCTGTTTGCATCGCTAGCCTCTCGAACCTACTCCAAAACTTGAATCATCGGATGATCGGCCAAACGATGAAAGGCAAACAGCAAGCCAAGGAGTCTCAGCGAGGCTGTGCTTTGCGGATCCGCCGTTATCACGAAACTAAGGTGTGTCCACTTCTTACAAGTTCTGCGATCTCTTGCAAAAAAAAGCACAGAAACGTAGCAGGTCTGAGGAATTGTTGAAGCGATGTTCCTTGCCCTATCCCTATCCCTTCGGGTCCAGGAAGAGCTCGACCTCGATGGTCCCTTTGCTTGTCTTGAGTAGAGCCCTGGGGTTCGGCTTCAGAACTCCGAAGGTGGCTTCGAAAGGCTCCTCGCCGCGAAGCAGTGCCTTCAGAGCGAGCAGCTCGTAGGGTTTGCCCGCCACGGTCTGGAACACCCACCCTGCTTGCACGCCAGCTTTCTTTGCCGCACCATCAAAAACCTCCTTCACCAGACCACTCTCCGGATCAATCTCCATTCCCAAACTGCCCGGCTGCAAGGCTACCTCGGTCTCGCGGTTCTTGCATGTCCCTTCAGGCCGGCCCAGAAACCATACGGGAACATCGACTTCGAAGCCCAGGAACATTTCGCACATCATCGGACAGAGAACCCACACCAGGAATGTACCCAGAAGCCGAGGCTGAAAGCCTGCTCTCTGCGCCTCTGCAGCGCTGCTTCTTAGCAGAACAAAATGGATTTGGGTCAGCATTGACAAAGTCTTACATCGAAGGGTTGGCGGGTTCAGGTTCCGGAGATGCAAGCAAGACTCGCAGCTCCTCCTGTAAGCGTCAGTACTCCAGCATGCGGTTAATGAGTGAATCACCCCAGCATCCCCACGATCGCCACTGCAATTACTGCTTACTAGCTCTACTTGCCCTACAGCACTCGTGGCACAACTAAACTACTAGTGCTGCTCTGGGCTCTTTGTTGATCCTACTGGGAAGGAGTGACGGTGCTTCGACAAGCGACGCTTGCATCGTGGCCCGCCCACAAAGGAAACGCCCTTCAGAACCCAGATTGCCGCAAGAGCCGCAGCGCCAAGTATGAACAGATGTGCACAGCAGCTTCTGCTTTTCCTCGACGAAGTCGTGATCTGTGGCGGCCGAACCATGGCTTGCAGACCGCTCCCGCCACGCTCTGCAACGCACAGAGACACAAAACCTCGACAGCCCGGACCAACTGGCACACATATACATGTCCCTGACTGAGCCACTACAGTGCCTCAACCATGCCTCGAACGCAGAGAGACCCAACAAGCCCGCACAGCACGTCAAGTTTGATGCCTGGTTTGAGCCCATTCCAATGGAGATAAAGGGATGAGGCATCCCGCAGAAACATCTGCAGATGCAATCGTCCCTATCGTCCCTGGCATTCGTGAGGAGCCTGGGAAGGCTCCCCCGCCCTTTGACATCGCAGCTCCTCGGCGATCTGAACCTGGGGCAGACACTTATCGCCGAAAGCAGGTCTCGCAACGTTGCCGCTCGGGCTCAAACCCAGACGCATGCTTCCTGCCCGACCTGCTCTCCGCTTCGGCTTGAGTGTTGCATACCCATAGGGAACTGGGCAGCTTGCTGGCCGGATTCCCGTCGGAACTCCTCGCTGAAGAGGAGGTGGCTCCTCGGAGACAGTTGTTGCAGGTTGCCGAAGCATTTATGTAAGCACGAAAGTGTATGTGACATGGGACGCTACATGTGCGCCTGCCCGTTTCGCCCCACGTTCTCCGCGCTCTGGCGCTTTCCCTGCACCTGGTCAGGGCTTCAAGCAACGGGCTGGTAGCCGCTGTGACGCAGAGTCGGCAGAGCAAAGGATAGTGGTGGTGATTGAAGTACAAGTAGTGAGCTGGTCCGCGCCGAATGGCGCGCCCCTCTTAAGGGGCCTCGTGGTGGCTCGGAAAAAGACACGGATGCTCCGTGTTCGGAAAAAGACACGAAACTCCCCTCTCTCCCTCTCTCTCTGTCTCTCCCTCTCTCCCGGGCATAGGAGCCTCTATCTCTTCTACCACACAGCCAAAGAGAAGGCATGTCGGCCCCTCTTCCGCGCGTGCGCGCCCTGGTCGCCCCGGTCTTGGTGTGAAAGCTTTAAAAGATGAGGCCCACTGTGTTGCAACTCTGATATGCCTCCTGAATTAACACTATATAACCCAAACCCCTGCCTCATCTTCACAAAAGGCTGCCACCGGTATTGTGTTGCAAGTTTACAGCTCTATCTCTCTCTCTCTCTCTACCAGGCCAGAGGAGGAAGGCGGCTGCCCCCCCTCGCACGCGAACGCGCAGTCACAGGGTTTTACGGACTTCCACTGGAGGGTTGCCCCCCAGCGGCTCGGCTATACACGGCCGGGTGGAGTCTCGCAAACAAAGCAAGGTAGTGGCGCTGAGGCGTTGCAACCGTTCGCAAAGTACGCCAAGACTTTTCCACCCCCGCACTAACAAGCCGGATGTTGGAGTCTGATGGCCGCAGTGCATGCCCCCGATGGCGCTTGAGTACTGAACCATATTCGAGTGTGTTCGAGACAACGAACAAATTGGTGGGTCCGATATTTACTGATACGGGCTACTGCATTGCAACATGCACGCGCACCTGACGGATTCTTGTCCGTGTCTTGCCTGTCAAAGTCAATCCTCACAGAACCCGGATACGGAACTATAATAAAGTACGGGGCGATGTGTCAAGTGCCATGTCCTGGTAGCAGCATCTGCGAGGCGAACCTGATCATCAGGTGCTGTCGCATGTCAGCTGGGCTGCAATTGCTCGTGGGCTGAGTGTCCAGCACTTTTATGTCGGGGAGGGCCCTCGACGAGTTGGCCATCATCTCTCGTCGCATGCCTTGGCATTGTTCGCAGCCCCGCGAGCGAGTCGACAGGTGCCTAGCAGGGCCTAGCCACTACGCCATTACGTAAGCCTCGGCCTAAGCCAGCGGCGCGGCGCTCGTGCCCAAATTGGTCTTGTCCGATACTTCCCGCTGGCCGCCTTGAGGCCGGCGAGTGAATGCCGCAGCGTTGCACAGACACGTTGCAAGCACAGGCCTCGGCCGTTGCCTTGGTCGCGCCGCGATCTCCTGTCACTTGGCCTGGGCTTTCTGGCAACAGGCGCCATCTGCAGCACGTCTCGAGCGCTCGCTCAGACTCGCCTCTTTTTGTGCTACGCTGTCAGTTCCGCGAGCATTACCATCAACTGCCCAGTTTGGAGAAACCGAGCAGGGCTACAAGCACGAGAGAGAGATTGGTGAAGAAGTGGGCGGCCACCTCAGGAGCAAAATTCCCAGCGTTGCAAGCGAACAGGCATCTGGGCCCACACCGTGAAGTAATAGAATCGCCAGGCAGCCTCCACCTCGGCCAAGGTGAAATGCTTGAATCCTCTCTTACTCCTGCTTGTGTTCAGCCCGGTAGGTCTTGTGACTTGTGACCTGTGCTCGAAAAGGGCTGGCACCTTGCTGCTGACCAGCATCAGCGGATCTTGCGTCCACGTGAAGAACAGCGGATGGTTGGCCTCATAGGCAGCACAAGGTACAAGCTGACTAGAGAATATATTTGCCAGAGGCGCCTTGATTCCGTAGGCAGCCTCTGCCTGCTGCACTGCCAGCCGAAAGAACTGACGCTTGCCCTGCCCAAGACCATTTGCAAACCGCTTGAAGACTTGTAAGTTTTAGAAACTCATGCTCTGCGCTTGCTCGCCTCCTCAAGGTATCGAAGTCCAGATCGAGCATGCAGATTGCCGTACCTCACTCGTGACTCGTGGCAGCGCATCTTGAGTTTGTTGACGTCGGCAGCTTGAGGCCATGGCTCTCCGCAGCGAAACTGCTGCGTTGGCCCGCTGCAGCAGTTGACCCCAACAGCCCAAAAATCATATGACCTGCAGGCAATCGACAGGAACAGTTGTCTCCGGCTCAAGCATGCAATGCTGCAGACGCTTCATCTGAGCTGCCCGCGCCAGCGCATCTGTTCCGCTAACAATTGGGACGACGCAATACCTCGAAGCCCAGATGGGTCCGCACATGTCCACACTTTATTGTCTGTGGCTGCACTCGTCAAAATCGTGGAAGCTCATTGACCTCAGCCAAACAAGCTGTGACACCACGCGTTGATCATCTGCTCGCCATGTTGGTGGTCTTGGCCTCTTGCTTGGCGAAGTCAAGCTTGCTGTCTGAGGCGAAATAGACGCGGCCAGCATCCATCAGCTCCTGCCCTTTCTGGCGGGCAGGATCGACTGCCTCGATACCATCACGCTCCCAGCCCAAACTCTCACTTCGGCTTGCTCGGATCCGTGCAGGATAGCTGCTCAAGTTCTGGAAGTCCAAGGCAGCCTGCTCAGCGACAATGCGCTCCCTAACCCACATCCAAAGCCGTGGGGACCGCGCCTCCATCGTGCTGAGGAAAGTGTAGTCTCCCAGGACTGCGCCCATCACCACGGCCAGCCCCAGAGATGCTGCGAAGAATGTGTACCTGGCGCGACAAGAACAGGCATCAAGAGACACAGTGCTCAGGAATACAAGAAAGCTTGCGAGGAACACCACATGGGCTGCGAGTCCAAACCGCGGGAGCATCGACCCAGAGCCAACCTCAAAGTGTTAATGTGGCACTCTGTTTAGCCAAGTTAATCTTTGTAATGCTTTTCCCGGTGCCAGGCTTACTCAGGATTTGATTTTGGGTGGCCGTCTCCAAATGGGTGAGGGATCAAAAAAAACTATTTAAGGGATCAAAAAAAAACTATTTCC